CTGGGATAGGACTGTCTGCTGTCTGGGCAGCAGCGCTCATCACTTGACATAGCATCCTCATCATAGCCTGATTATGTTCTATCTCTGCACGGTGTCGCCTCTCTTCCATTTCCATTTGGAGCCTGTAACGCTCTCATTCCAGCTCCAATTCTCTCTGGTGCTGTTCCTCTTCTTTCAGCAAAAAAAGCTTGTGGTCTTTGGGCTCTGATTCATTGTGGGGTTGGGATTCTGGATGGGTTTTTCCTGTCCCACCCACCTCTACTACCCACCACTTACTATCACTTCTCTTTTTGTCAGTAAACTGAAGCTAAAAAAATATATATCTCAAGGATGTTGAAGAATAACTTGTCTGTCTGTGGTAAAAGTGATGACATATGTGTTCCTGTGGCTCAGTGGTAGAGCATTGCGTTAGCAGCCCAAAAGGTTGTGGGTTCACAGGCAGGGAACACACATACTGGTAAAAAAAATGTATAGCCTGAATGCACTGTAAGTCGCTTTAGATAAAAGCGTCTGCTAAATGCATTCATTTCATATAATCTTACTCAAAATACGTTTCAAATTCTTCAGAATTTTTTTTTTTTTTTTCCAGGAAGAAAGTGTGGCCAGTATAAAAACCCAGTTTTATTTTTATTTGATTATACCTGAATATCTCTTCAATCCAAATGTGTCCAAAAGCAAGTGAATAATGTGAAAACTATTATGTTAATACATCTGTGAATCACTGATCAATCAATGGGGTGAACAAAAAAAAGATGTCATCTTCATTTCCTTTTGTTTAAGCATATTGGGTTTAATTATCAATAAATGCCATTGGATCATGTTGGAAAGCTGTTTAAAGTTGCGTGTGTGGGCAGCCCCCCCAAAAAAGAGGAAGAAACATTTCTGTCTGCATGGATATTTTAAAACAAACCATGTTAACCATGTGAAATCAGTTTAACGGCTGCTGGAGATCAGACTCACCAGAACACGGTAAGAGTTAATGTGTCAATATTAATATGCGAATATATCGTTAATATGTGAATATAGTCTGATTAATACTGTTGTACAACCCACTGACTTATTCAATAGTAAATATTCTCCATGGAAACTGATTTATGGAGATTTTGAAGCTAAAGATTGTGTTTTTCTCATGATGTGTGTGTTACATTGGTCTTGTAGTGGCATCAGTCAGAATGGCTCCTTCTCTTCCTCTGGTGATTCTGCTCATAATTCATGGTGAGTCAATGCATAATTAACAAACGTTACATAGTCGCTTATTAAAGGGGTCATATGATGCGATTTCAAGTTTTCTTTTCTCTTTGGAGTGTTACAAGCTGTTCGTGAATAAGATCCCTAAAGTTGCAAAGACTAAAGTCTCAAACCCAAAGAGATATTCTTTATAAAAGTTAAGACTGGTCCACGCCCTCCTAAAACGCCTCGTTTAAACACGCCCCACATATCTACCTCACTATGTGGAAATATTTGCATAATGC